CACCTTTATTGGGCGAGTGTGAGGAAGATTTAGGAAAACCTTAGATCCTGCAAATCCCATGAGAGAGAGTTTTCCCCCCATGCTACTTAAAAAACAACAAAAGTTGGTTAATGTATTACATATAAATATAAACAGAATTCAGACACAAGTGAGACAGACACATACATACACGTTATTACAGACCAAATGCATCACTCAGCGCATTTGCCCAGAAGCTGGGGCCAATTTCTACACACTCAGTGACTCCAGTAGCAACAGGCCATTGACGTTCCTGCTACAGCGACAGGGTTTAATTTCCAGTTATTAATGGAGGTAGAAGCAGCGTAACTGACACTCTCCATCCTGTTACTTTTCTCTCTGTGTGGTTCCCCCTCATCCTTCCTCGGCGTTTGGTTCAGACCCAGGAGAGGAGCCCCACTGTGAACCATCCCACACTTAATTTACCTGTAAACAGCCAGAGAGAGAAACAGCCATTGCTAAGTGTAAGGGTCTGTATCCCACACTCAGGGTCTCTGTCCCCCTGCAGTAGCTGCTGTTCACAAGTCTGGTTCTTTAGCTCAAAGAATAGCTGCCTCTCCCTGCATGTTAGTGTCAGGCCAGTCTCCATCGCGGAGGCCAGCCCAGCGTGGTCCATCCCTCCTGCTGCCATTCGGGCATCGCACCCAACCCCCGCCCTTTCCCTCGCGGGTGCTGAGCCCACGTTCCCTTTTCGGGCTAGGCCCGGCCGGGTTACATGGGTTGCCTGGCCATCAGACACTCACTAACACCACCCCCAGGCCTGGCTTCAGGGGTGGGTCCGATATTCCTAATCCAGGCAAGGTGCGTGTGCTCATTTGTTGGGCTTTCATGAGCATCTTGCGCGGGATCGTTTTAGTCTGGAACCTCCCCCCAGACCTGTTCGTCTAGGGTGACCCTCCCAGGAGCACTGGGCTCCAGACGACATAGCCCTGGGGTTCACCGGAACACGCAAGCCCCTCCACCACGACAAGGTAACGATCCTGGGAGGGAGTCTATATGTTCTGGACACCCGGGTGCAGAGACGGGCAGAGCTATCAGCCAATCACCGCTTGGTGATGGTAAATGGGAGCGGGAGATCTACCGACGGATTGGGGGGGCGGCGGCAGTGATGAGGCAGCTGTGCAGATCCGTGGTGGGGAAGTGGGAGCTGAGTCTGGCCACCTGCATATGAAATGTCTCTCTGAGTAGCACCTGGAGCTGCTGACCCCCTGTTCATCCAGGTAGGCGCACTGCCCTTCCCCTCTGACCTGAAACCTGCAATGAGAAGCAGTGTGGGGTTATCACATGCAGCCAATTCCCATTCCTCCTCACGTACGGAGAAGCAATGTGGTTCAATGGTTCAGATGCAGGGGAATTGGGTTCTCAACCAGGCTTTGCTACTAATCAACCCTGAGCTAATCACTTCTAGCTGTAAATGTCACAGT